GCATTCGTTTTTTTTAAACTCAAATGCGTACGAATGTCACATTCGCCACTAGAGAATTGCCGATTGATCGATTTGGCCCTGTCCGTCTTTCTGTCCGTATGTTTGAGCGCGTCTATCTGAAAAGATATGTGTTGGAGTTAAAGACTCGAACTTTTTTAGAGTGTCCGTATAAACAGCGCGGATATCGAGTTTATCTCGAAAAATCGATAACTCATCCCGTTATTTTTTATCAATAAAAAATCTTATCGAAAATCAGTAATCTATAAGCACCCCCTAACCCATAAGTCATTAAAAGGCGCATTTCAAATACTAGTGACTTGTGCTTTGTCATATATTTGAATTTTAATAATAAAACCATAATCTTTAAGTTTCATGAAGAGAGTACATTCACAAGAAAAGTTATAAAACAATTTAGTTCTTATAGGGGCCACACGGCAGGCATATGTTTGTCTGTGAGTGCTTGTATTTCTTGTGTAAGCAGGAAAAAAGTAACAATTATTGTGATATAATATGCTCGAAGGGTTCATTCGTACATTCCAAAACACAAATATGCCTATCACAAAGGTGAGGGTGAGGGGGGATCTATAAAATGGATCTTAATATATATTTAAAATTTGGAGACTAGCTTCAAAGATGTGGGAGATATAAATATTTAAACACTAACCAGAGAACTCTCGGGTTAGTAATTTAACTGAATTTCGATAAGGTTTTTCATCATTAAAAAAAACCGGGCGAAGTTATCGTTTTTTATAAATAAACTCACGCTGTATATACGGACATTCTAAAAAAGCTCAAGTCTCTAGCTCTTATATCTTCTGAGATTGTCGCGTCAAAACATACTGACAGACGGACAGGGCGATATATAGACTCGTACTCATCAAGAATATATATGCGATAATTCCTTCTGCCTGTTACATACTTTTTCACAAAAACATTATACCCTGATCTCCCACTTTAAATGGGTTCAGTGTATAAAAATAATCAGATTAAATAGTGTCGAATCAAAACCTTGATGGCGATTGAAAATAATAAGGCCGCATTCCGGCGAAATAATCGTACATCGAAAACTGTAACTTTACAGGAGAAGCATTTTTGTAATATTGTTATTGCACGTTAATATACAAACGCTTAAATTGAAATTGATTTATTTCCGAAGCTAGAGCGTATTGAGTCCTCATTTTTGTGCAAGTATGTGAGACAGACGTTTTCTAACCGTTCTGCATTAAAATCTCAATTTCGCAAAAACATACGATCATTTCGCGGGAATTCGATGCTTTATATTTACTCAAGCCGAATGCTTGAACTAAGTTTAAATTTTTTTTAAAAAAAAAAAAAAAAAAAAAACAAACAAAAAAATAAATAAATTATGAATATGAAACGAAATGACAAAGCCACGCAACCTGAACAATCCCTAATCATATCCTTATCTAAATTGCGAAGACTATTTTCGTTGTAATATGCAGAATGATGATTTCCTCCAATATTTATTTAACATCAATTTTGTTTTAATATTAAAATTTAATTATTTTTGTGTTTGAATAAGTTCAATCTAATGCAGGTATTTGCTTTTGAATATATATTAATGAATATATTCAAACGCATTTCAGAGTGAAAAACGTTCTCCAATCAATGAAAAACATATCACAAAGACAATTAAAAAGCCGTACTTTGGCTTGACAAATCTAGCGCCTACATATAATTTTCGACTTATCAACTAAATAGTTTACTTTTAGACATTTAAATATTCTTTGAAAGACATTGTCGACAAGCATATTTTAAATTTTCATAATCGGTCAATCCAGTCATTTATACAAAAAGGGGCGAAATGGCACGTAAAAACTGGTTATTGAACTGTTTTTCTGAAAATCTTTCAACAGATGATCTGAAATGTAAGCAAAATTAAAAATCTGGTATCCGCTGATAAATAAAAAAAGTACGCACCGCGCTGCATTTCTTATGTTCCTATTCGTTTCAGCAGGATTAACTATAATATTAAATATGCAAGCTGCATATTCAACCGCATCGGTTGCAAGAAATCCATTTTGTGAACCTTCAGATGTTTCAATAATATCAAATAACGGACCACCCGACTTATGAGCAATCATTATTATACCAGCCGCCATGCATTCAACGATTCCGATTCCGAAGTGCTCATTCCACATAGTGTGTAGGCCAATCGTTGATCGTTTATATATATTTAAGAGGTCATCATAAGAAACATTTACTTTAAACTCGACTGAATTTTCAAGAGATAAATGCTTTGCAAGGTCCTCCATGTTATGAAGTCTTTCGTAATCTTCTTCATGTCGGCAAGATCCTACTATGACCAGTTTTATTCGATTCCAAAGCGCTTCATCTTTAGCCAGAAAAGTCCTTAGCTCATACAAAACTTGTAATTGTAATGGATGATTTTTCTCGGGTCGAAACTGCCCCACAGACACTATTATGATTTCGTCATGGTTTTCAATATGTTCTAGTTTTTTCAGGTGCTCAATCGCACATGGTGGATACACTCGATGCGTTTTTAGTGGAACTTTCAGCAGGTCAACAATATGGTTTTCAGTCCAAGTAGAATTCACCATAATAGTTTCGGAACAGCAGCTTACCCACTTATATGTCTAAGAATAAAATATGTCTTAATATACATGGCTATGCATTCTTATAATAGACGTTATATTCATGCGTTACATTTAAATCCACACGTCATTATAACGCATTAAAACAGGTGGAGTTACTTACCTTAGAAAGCAAGCGATAATAGGTGAGCTTTATCCACGTAAGAAAAGGATTTCGAGCAACATACGCTTTATTGTTGAAAGATGATTGCCGATATTGCACTTTTCTTAGCATATCGGTACTTATTAAAGGGTAGTGAACATAGCATCCAACTCTACTACTAGCCAAGTAGCGAAAGACCGGAAACGTGTAGGCATATCCCATGGTGTCAATAAAGATATCTGGTGGAAATTTACAAATCGCTTCCAAACCTAATACAATTGAGCCCAAACTTTGACCCAACAATGTAAAGTGAGGATACTTTCTCGCCTCAACCCACTGTCGTTGTTTAAGGTATACAAATGTAATTTGTTCAGCCTCAAGCGGTATATTAAATACGCTTTTGGCCTTGTGCAGAATCAAAGTGGGCGTTGCATCAATATCTCCAGTGTAAATGACAATCTTTATGTTGTCATACTTGTTCTTAAGCGAAACGAAATTGTTTTTATATAAATAATGTTCCTAAATACATATATAAATACCTGCAACGCCCTTACAGCGCACCACAAGACACGCTCGCCGCCACCGCCAGCGTTGCAATATGGGTGAAACAGGCCAACACTCAATTTATTATCTGACTGGGATTGAAGTTTTTTCTTCTTACTTAGAATCCATTGACGTAGACAAAACAGGAATGTGGATGCGATACCCAGCAACAATATAAAGCACCAGCATCTGTTGCAAAACAATTTTTAATTAAAGCACTTTTTTTTCATAACATAACATAACATATCAAATCTTACAACAGAATTACCACCATGTTATAGTTTTAATATTTATTACAATATATATTTTAAAGTTTCTCGAAGTAGTAGTAGAAACTTTATATTCCTAAAATTATAAAGAATTTGACGCATTCATAGTGTTCTTATTTGTGTTGCTTTACGTTCTTTAAGGTTACAAAAATCATCGATTTCTTTTAAGTGGGTATTTGTTTGATTTTAAGTATTCGATATGGTTCGATACTTTAATGACAAATGCGATACTTAGTCTGTGCCATAATATTAGCCGCTCTCCCTCACACACTTCGATGATATCTGTAATTTAAAAACATTGCTGACTGCAGACTGCATAGTAATCAGCCTTTATTTCCTTATCTCCGACGTCTCCGATGGGTATTATTATTATTATATTACTATGGGTAAGAGTATTATTGCTTATGTTTGCCATTAATTTAATATATATCGATATTTGACTTTAATATATCGCACAGGAACTAACAAGTCATGATATCGCCAAGAATTAATTTAAAAAAAAAAAAAACATTTTTGCTACGTAAGATGATTATAATATAGCATTCATTCCCAAATTAATAAATCAAAGTTAATCATCGCTTGAAAACCTAGAGCCTCAGCATATTTATCGTAAGTTAAAAATCATGTTTTTGCTTTAGAATTCGGGAATGCCGTGGATGTGGATGCTTTTTCCATCACTAAATAAATATTATTAACACTAACAGTGTAGTGATGGACTATCTTCGTTCTATATGGGAATGCTTAGCATCCATTTGTAATTGTTGGCATTGTACCGACGAGCTAGGCAGCCAAGTATGTTCATGAAAATGTGTTCTATTATTATTATAATTAAAAACATTTTCGATAGGGCATTGAACCCAGCGAGAGGACGCATCTGCTTGCAGATTCTGTTAATCAAAGTCCAGCTTTGCGGCGAAGTAACTCAGCTGATTTAAGCAATGATTATTCTCAATCACTACCAAAGAAAGATGACCAAAATGCGTTATCAAGATTGGTGCAAAATACAGCAATGTACGTAGAAGGAAATCAGCTATATATTTGATTACTTTTCCTGTTTTGTACTTTAGCAACATGATAAATGTGGGAGCCCTGGATTCTCACACCTTGGAGCATCAAGAGTATACAGATAGAATTAAATTATATTCACAGCGTCTTCAACAACAATGGAACAATATTCAACACCCTGGCTTTGTACAAAAAGGTTTGATATCGCAATATTTTATATGTAGATGATAGGATTGTAGAAGATAATTTAAATTGTATATAAACATGTATGTATATTGAGTTATTAATTTTAAATAATGACCTTGGATTTGTAGGTGGGTCAGCGTTATCATCTAATTTTTCTTACATTATATTAACTGATTATGCTAATGTTATCTTGGAAATCCACAAATCTGATGCTCGAAACAACCCCATATTTCAGCTAGTCATTGTAATTCTAATTGTAGTAGCAATTCAAAATTTCGAAACGTTTCGAAAATATACATATACTAATTTGTCTTGAATCTCTGTTGTCTGTGTCTGGAACAGAGATATAATAAATAAATCGATAAAATATTTCCTCCCTATTTTTTTCTTAGGCCTATTAAAGGACGTACCCAACCATCAATCTTATTTATCAAAAGGTATACCTTCAGATGATACTGCTCAGGTTAGTGAATTATCTTTTTATTCTCTCAAGTTGAAAAATAAGCATTAAGAATACTCAATACGGAAGTTCCCCACGAGGTGACATCCTGATCCCTGCGCAGAGCTGCTTATCTAATTATTGTTTAAATTTTAAATCACTACACTTTTGTAGAACAGAATGCAAAAACTTAAAAAAAGGCAAGCTTGGTTCATTTGGATCATTTACCATTTATATGTTAATTTTTTGTTTATTTATTTAGGATAATAATACTGACTTTTTAAATTAATAACACTAATTTGTTTACAATGGTTTCAGATGCGAGTATTTGTACAAAAATCCATCGCCGGTGTATTGAGTATACAAGTCGATCATAGAGAAGCGGTTGTTGTTCCGTTTGAAATCCCCTAAAAATAAATAATATCATTTTGTGTGGTGATAAAATGTATTGTCATGTTTAACATTTAAAAATAACTAGATTCAACTGATAATGTTGTCGATTATATTACAATATTTTTGGATATGATGCAATTTTGAAACCACGGGCTCATGCTGAATATCTTAATAAAATAATAAATATTGTATGATATAAAATAATATTTTGTGTTTTCACTAAAGAAACCCAACTCGAATCACAAATGCAAATATGCGAAAGTGTGTATTATATTTGAATGCATTTGAATTTTCGAATTGCAGTCCTGTGATTGTCCATCTTGCCACCTATGAATACGCGTAATTATAGTCTTATATCAATAATCATAAAGACATATAATCTCGTCTGCAGAATATATACATACATATTTAAAAAAAAAAAAGCTCCAGTCGAGACTGTTCGACTACGAGATCCCCTGAACCCTGAATAATTCGCAACACACACACACGCAAACACACTCGCAGCGCTGCAGTGTTGGCAATATTATAAGTATTTATTTGTTGAATAATTTAATTTGTAGACGTACAATCCTAATGAAACTTTAAGAACATTATCATAATGTTCAAATGTATGTATATTCCAAAGCACAAGTCTCTAATACTTGAATTACGTTTTACGTTTGCAAATTGGCAGCGACGGGGGCGCGGTATCCAAAATCTGTAGATTAAAAAATCTTCGTATTTATTAAATGTAAATACGCAATAAATTTGTATAATAGTATTTAAATTAGGATGAAAAAAATGAAATCAATCAATCAAAATTTCAGCTCTCTGACTCCTATATCTTCTGAGATAGGCTTGGTCATGCGGACGGACGGACAGGACTATATCGACTCAGCTCGTCGCCCAGATCAAGAATGTACATACTTTATGGGGTCTGTGATGATTCCTTCCTTCCTCTACGCACTTCACAAAACTATTATACCCTGCAACCCATTTTCAATGGATTCAGGGTGTTAAAAAAAAAAAAAAAAACCTATTCATTCAATAATGGCTACATTAGCAAAAGAACTTTAATTATTTGATACAACTTTTAGCTGATATACAAATGGCAAACAAAATCCAAATTGTATAAAATACACCAGAATCTAAACTCAAAATTTTAAAGGTTTGACAGTACGTAATACCCGACACTCTTGATTCATGAAATATGCCATATCCGCCTACTTTATATGAATTCAAGACATACAGGCATTTAGGGATTCATGTGTCAATTCAATTGCCTATAGAATACATATTAGTTCAAACAAAATTTGATCGAATATAAATTTTAAATTTAATAGTAATTTGTGAAATAGATACAATTTGAAGATGTCCTTTAATTTGAACCATAAGTACTGGATTTCTACTTCGAAAGAAATCAGTCAATTGATAAAAAAGCAAAACCGATTGAAAAAAATTGACCCACCAGAGGAAAAATCAGTGTCATTTAAAATATTCTCCGAGCTATATATCCTATATGTTGAGCTTGTCAATAAATTAACTTTTATTTACTATAATACTTTTCAAGTGCAAAAAAGGAAGGTGGTTCGAACGCTCGTTGAAAATGCTACTCAGCAGCTTATGATGCTTAAAGAAGAGCTGAAAGAAATGGAATTAAGCGAATATACTTATATGGACAAAGCGCTAATTGTAAGAAAGTTGACTCCATCGGATTTGATGATTTGGAGATCTCCGCAATTTCTGTATCGTCGTCCACTAGATGTTGCAAATATTTTGGTAGATAATAAGCTCTATATGAATGATCAAGAGAAAGAGCAAAGCGAGGCAAAGGACTGGACTAAAATAAGCGATGCAGTGGCGCTTATACAAGCCCATGAACGGGCTCGAAGTGCTCGTGTCTACAAGGCAAATATCAATTATGATAAAAAGAAATTCTTAGAGGTCAAACAAAGGAAAAAAGTTAATTACAGATTTACCTTCAAGCCAAATCAAGCAATGAGTATTCCTGTTAAAAGAACTATATTCACGGCGGACTTTATTAAGACTGACGAATCCTGTAAAGAATTACGTAATAAAATCGATCACGTAGGAGGTTGTATGTCAGGTAATCCTCTTATGTTTAATCAATATCTGCGCGTTTCCTTCTGCTTGCTATATTGTAAGCAAAATATTACATTTAATTTTTCATTTAATAACTTAATCTTGCCTTCGAAATTGCCGCAATTAGTATGAATATAATGAATATTGGATGGAATAGCCAAAACTGGTTCAGACTATGCAAAAGTCCTAGCCCGTAAGAGATCTAAGTAAAAATAAACTCTTGTCTATGCTCTATAATAATTATAAATATTAATGTACATACACATATTTATGTATAGGCATACATAATACATACATAGTAATATGCTTGATAAGACTTCATGTAATGCTAAATTAAATTAAGTCTTATCAAGCATATTACTAAAGGACTGAATGACTTCATCAAAACACATACATACATACATACATATGTACATATTATGTACGTGCATGTACTTTTAGATAGAATTCACTGAATGACCGAGTGAGAAGCATACTTGAGCGTCATCAATTACTCCCTTTGAAAAATCGTTGTGTTTTCATGACTATGTGTGGGAAGTGTATGAAAACGTTGATGCTCATTAAAAATATCTATATACATACATATGTATAATGTAGGTACATATGTATGTTTAAGCGACGACCATTCACGCAGCTTTACAGTCCCTTGCTACATGTACATATGAACAATTTACAACCTGTGTGCTGAATTTTCTGCCTCCAAGACAATACATACAAATTAATAAGATAATTTAACTAAGCGTGTTTATTGGCATATGTACACATATGTAGTGCTGCAAATCCGTCGATGGAAATATCGATAGTATCGATGGACTTTCTTTTGTTAGATAGATCGATAGAATTTCCACACAACTTCGTATTTGCTCGGCTCCTCACTTTTAGGTTCAGGCTACTAAAATATTCGAGAGCACAATCATTTTGCTTCTGGCGCTCGACCGAGATGGTCGATGGTTGAACAAAAGATCCCTCTGTGCTCAATGTT